CCACTCCCACACTCGCAACGCGCATCGAATGCACAAGCGAGACAGATGTTTCAGATCCGCGCAACTCGTTCTAAACTCTATGTACGCGATTTCGATGTGATTAACTGTCTCAACGTATCTTGGAAACCAATCGTATTTTCTGATCGCGAGCGCGGATAGTTGCAAGATTTTAAAGTCCTCTTCGTTGAAATTGTTTTCCTCTTCCCATATTTGTTCCTCAGGTAAATCGTGTACCGATAACCAAAGCCAAGGAAAATCGCGATCGTAGCGATAGAGCCGTACATCGAACCAGATCTCTCGTATTGCGTCCTTGCACACTTTAGGAATTTCAAGATTGTGTATTTTAATGTACTCGTCTACGTGTTTTGCTACAGTTTTTGCAGCTAAGAACTGAAGCAATTTCGGTTGTCTGATCCGATTCATTGTTGATTTTCCATCTTGACTTTCGCAATACACACGCGACAATATTTTTTCAGCGGAGCAGGTCCGTCAATGTGATCGTAATCTCCTGGTTGATTGTAATGTTCGAGACATCTACGATATAACTGCACCTCAGGATCTTCCTTCAAATGCTCAGGCANTCGATCCCACAAAAGCTCCACGTGATTATTGAACACTTCTAAGAGAATCCTCTTTGGAATGTTTTTCAACTCTTCGACCGATAGGTTTAAAATGCGCGTCGTGTTCGATCCGTTAAACATTTTCAACAACAGCGGCGACTTGTTATCTATACAACTTGCGATCAAAATGATTTGTGACTCTCTCCCGACCTCGAGGCGTCTTTTTATTTCACTCCTTATCTTTCCTCGAAATCTTTAGGTTTGAAATTGCGTTTCAAAAACACCACATCCGGTACGCAACGGTTTTNCGTTATCATGGNAAGTCCGTCATCAAACCGGAAGCGGCTGATCGCTTAGGGCGATAAGAACAGGCTCACTTCCGGGAAATTGTGGTTTTTCTCGGAATTTCTTTATTTTCCGGGAAATTGCGGTTTTTCTCGGAATTATTTGTTTTCCGGGAAATTGCGGTATTTCTNGGAATTTCTTATTTATTTGCTGCGCAATTGCGAACTGCGCGCAATTTATTTTTTTACGCGAACCGCTTCCGGGAAATTTGCGGTTTTTCTCGGAATTATTGTGTTTTACTGCGCAATTGCAATTTTAACGATGACGTCATCATTCCGAACGACCTTCAACACGTTTGAACCTGTTCGAGTTCTATTTTTGGCGATGACGTCATCAACATCCCTGCGGTTTTTCTCAGAATTTTTTTATTTTACTGCGCAATTTAAAACTATAATTGAGAGGTGCTATTATTTTAACGGTGACGTCATCAACCGATTGACCTTGAACACGTTCGAACACGTTACAACCAATGGCGTAACCACTATCTTAAATAAATACAACTCGCTCGAATATTGCATGCTCCATTTTTACGGCTCGCCGTTAATTGGCTAATTCCGGTGGAGCCGATAACAACACTCCGCCGACACCACCCACACTCCTATGTTATCTCATCCGCAACACCCAAGTCCTGCTCTCATTATTACGAATATGTTTCCATTGACTCCTCCTTTCCCCTCCTCTTGCGGTTTTTCACAGGAAAGCTTACATTGAGTCTTCCTTCCCCCTNNACCTCCCTCGCGCGGTTACCCCTCCCTCCNCTCCCCGCGGTTACCCCCTNCCCTCACCCCCCTCGGAGCCCCTTGATCAGAACCCCTATATCTTAACTACTTAGATTTCTTCTAGTACTGACAGTAAATTGCAACACAGCTTTTCACAACACTGTACTTTATTGCTTTGTCACCACACAGCAACGCGATTACGTCTTGTGTATGTTCCGCTTAGCGTTGCCGTGGAAAGTGCCATAACGTGATGTCACGCGGTAGAGAGGGTAATTTACTATTTGTGGAAGAAGTACGACGCGAGTCGTACTTTTCTATCTCTCTATCGCATGACGTCACTTTGTGGTACCTTTCACGGCAACGCTGGTTTTGCTATACTTGGGGCGAGACTATGGCTGCGTTCCGAGTTACGCATATGCACGCATTTATCTATACTGTACGTAACGTGTACTATAGATAAATGCGTGCATATGCGTAACTCGGAACGCAGCCTATATCTACACGAAAGTGTTGTCACCTGGCGGCGAAAAAAGGCGAAGTACGCTCAAGCAATTGTCTNAAGACGTGGACGAATTCGTAGAACCTAGGTTTTCGGCATTTCGGAATTTGTATCAAGATATTTTCGTTGAGAAGACACGGAGGAAAAAAACCGCGAACTAAGTTTTTTCGTGACTTGATCTCAACTTTTGATTGAGTCTACTACGAACTCGATCGGTTTAGCCGTTATTGAGATTGGATAATCTCGAAAAGTCTCACGGCTAAATTTCGCGTATAAGAGGCACGGGGTACCTCGTGCAGCGTGCGCGCACTTTGTTTGCGCATATACTTGCCGCGAGGCACTACCGTGCCTTTTGATAATTCCGAGAAAAATCACAACTGCGTAGTAAAATAATTAATTTTGAAAAAACCTGCAAGGATAATGACGTCATCGCTAAAAATAGAACTCGAACAGATCCGCGCGTTCAAGCGCTAAAATAATATTACTGCTCAATGAGATTTTTACATTGCGCAGTAAAATAAATAATTCCGAGAAAAACCGCAACTGCGCAGTAAAATAATAATAATAATTCTGAGAAAAACCGCAACTTCCCAGAAGTGCGCCTTTGCTTATCGCCAAAGCGATCAGACACTTCCGGTTNAATGAATCATTTTCTGCGATAACATTTGCAACCGTTACGTACCGGATGTAATTTTTTTGTTTTACGCACTACCGGTGCGCGCGTAATTTAGTTTTTTTTAAATAGACGCCCGCAAAAAAACCGTTACATCCTGATGTTTATTTTCTCGAGGACTCGGTTAAGAAAGTTTTCAAAATGAAGCAAAGGTTTAGTGGAACGCATATTTTGTTAGGAATATGAAAGGAAAACATCGTATTATGGAATAAAATCACATAGCAATTCTTTATTATTTTATGTAAAAATACTGATACATAATGAGAGTTAAACAATAATAATTTATTAAGGCGCAACACCGTAACATACAGCTAACAGTTCGCAATTGACTATATCGTTGACGTTAAAGTCACCGCTCTGTGCGACAGCATTCGCGAAGCACGCGGGATCTGATATTTCAGATTGGATCGTGAAATACCGCGACAATCTTTCTTGTACGCAAACAACAGCGTCGTTCAAGTAGGCGACAATGCATGCAATGCAATGTTTTAAGTTAAACACGTTGCACATCGATTGGTGGGACAATATTATGCGGCTGGTCTTCGTATTCAGACGCATGATTTTCGCGTTGTTTGTCAAGCTGAATGATACTGTCACATCGTCAACAAAAATTGGCGGCTGCGCGTTGCTCTGCCCCGATAAATACGATGTAATGATTTGTTCGTTGTCTAACAACACCTTCCACATTTCTGACGAAAGAAGCACCTAGTTCCNATTGTTGTCACTTGGCGCCATATCAACNGTCGGTGATGCATCCTTGGATGAAACNGATGCCGAGTTCGAAATACTTGTATCCCGTTTTGCTTAAGATGTACTTGCGCCTCAACACCCGCGTACGCTGAACCGGTGCGCTGAGTGTAAACGGTGTCGACTGAACGCTGTTGCATTATCTGTGAAGAAAACAACTAAAACATGATTTTATTGTGAATNAAAAAAGAAGCAATAAAAAAATAATACTTACAGTTGATGGAACTTCTTTCTCTTNGCAGCGTTCTGTTGAGACGCGCGCTGAAGATCGACGGAAGATTGTTGTTGCTTCATCGAAACCATCTAGCAAAACATCGTCGAGCTAATTTGTTGCGAAAAGTAGGAGAAAGAGCGACAACTCGTAACACACAGAACGATTGCAGCGAGACTGACTGTATGGTTGCCATGAAAAGGTCTATATATCTCTAACATAAATGAAGAAATTTTCCCCCACTCTCGACGCATCCTATATCTATCCGGAATAAAGAGTGTGTTTGTACTTTTTGAGTTGAGAAACTAAAGACTTTAAGTTGTATGAGATGTTTATATCCGGGCAATGAATAGTAATTAATCTCATATTGAAAGGTCCCGCAAAGTGCATGAAATTGATGAATTCGCTGAACGCGAGATATCTCTCAGAGTACAGAAAGTACACATTGCCATCTGAATTATGTAAAGCCAGCGACATACTTGGTGGAACTCCTGAAAACGTTAGTTTCAATTTGCTGTATTCTGTAATCCTCAANTGACAATCGTCTAGAACGGCCACGGAGTCGTTGTTGAATATGATGTAGGTCTGTCCTATAGAAGATTGAAACGCAGTATTAATGACATTGTGCTAGGCAACACAATCTCAGATAAACTGCGTGGCCAACCGTCTTGCAATTGTAAACTGGGGTAGGAAACTAAGTACACGTAACCATAGGTGAAGAGCACGAGCTNACCGGATGGTCGTTGATAAGCCGCATCCAACTTTGTAAAATTGAATGGGAAAAAACGCAATTATTTGGTCAACAGACGTGGATAAGAATGCAGATTCCAGTTCGCAGAGGCTATATATGTTACGGTTAGTATAATTAATTGGTAATTATTAATAATTACCGGTTATTATTAATACAAACTAAATTACGAGATAAAAGTAATAACTTTAATAAATGTTATCACATTAACCGGTTAATATTAAAAGTTTCCGCCTATTATTGGTTTAATAACAAATTTCGATTCAGCATTGCTTGTGGCGTTGCTGTGGGGTGATACTCTATTGACCACAGTACGATTCGACACCGCTCGATTCGACACAGATTTATTCGACACCAA